GTGTACTCTGCGAGTCACAGTATATTAAGTCCACTGCCTTTGTCTTTCCACAGATACCCCCCAACACGTCTAGGGGGTACCTGGGCACCTCTGGGTACCCACCATACAAACGGCACCCATTTAAACCACACTCATGGCGGCTCCATTTAGAAAAAAAAAGCTTTTTCCCGTTACATATTTTTGTTGGGCCAATCTCACAGTCGGCTCCTGACGGGTGGTGATTTGTGGTCAGAGAACCAGCCGCTACTGGCTCATCCTGTACCACCAGGCTGGCTCACTACACCCCCATCCCATCCCCCCCTCCCTCCCTCCCTCTCTCTCTCTCTCCCCCCCCTCTTTCTCTCTCCCCCCCTCTCTCTCTCTCTCTCTCTCTCTCTCTCTCTCTCTCTCTCTCTCTCTCTCTCTCTATGCCCTCTCTCTCTCTATGCCCTCTCTCTCTCTGCCCTCTCTCTCTCTGCCCTCTCTCTCTCTGCCCTCTCTCTCTCGCTCTCTCTCTCTCGCTCTCTCTCTCTCGCTCTCTCTCTCTCGCTCTCTCTCTGCCCTCTCTCTCTCGCTCTCTCTGCCCTCTCTCTCTCGCTCTCTCTGCCCTCTCTCTCTCGCTCTCCCCCCTTTCTCTCTCTGTGCCGTCTCTCTCTCCTCTCCTCATTCGTCTGTACCGGGCCTTGACATATACGGCTGTCCGGTTTGTCAGGGAGTAAAAGGTACCATGATTCTGATAACTGAATTTTGGTAGCGACACAACAGATCGCTCACGATAACAAAAATTGTAATATGAAAAAGTTTTTCAATTTTTTTTTTTACCGACAAGCGGAGGCGCGCCGTCGGCAATATTTCGTGAGGAGTCGCAAGGAACACGGAGCTGCTCCTTGAACGACACCTTCCTCCGTCACTTACCTGTCCAAGATATTTACTGTCCTACAACATGCCAGGCCTGCCACACCTATTTCTTGTTTTTTTTTTTTTTTGTAAAGTAACATTTTAAGAATCAGGAAATCTATTAGCAAGTGCGTGGGGGTAATAGATGTAAATATTGATAAAAGAATGAGCTCAAAATTGCTTGACGCCCGTTACGCTATTCTCTTATATATATATCTCTCTCCCCCCCCCTCTCGCCACACACACACGCACACGCACGCACACACACACACACACACACACACACACACACACACACACCACACACACACACACACACACACACACACACTTAGGGCGCCTAATGGCTGAGTGGACAGCACGCTGGATACTTAGTCACCCTGATGCCCCTGTTACCTAGAAGTAAATAGGTACCTGGGAGCTAGACAGCTGTTACGGGCTGCTTTCTTAGGGAGGGGTCGAAATCCGTTGATTAATCGACAGTTGAGAGACGGGACGAAAGAGCCAGAGCTCAACCCAGGCAAACACAACTAGGTGAATACACACACACACACACACGACCCACCAACACACTATCCCCATTCACTAGACTCCTTCACCGGCAACAGTCCACATCTCATACAAATTACTAGTTATAAAATTTCATCAAGTAAAAGGGTAGGTGGATAGCGAACACTTCCTCATACACCTGCCCCTTGACTCCAGCACCAGTCGTCGTGGTGACGGGGCATGATATCGTCCTCGCCTCACTCCCACAGTCTAACCAACATGTCGTCAACCACCAAAAACTAGAACCAAAAAAAAAATAGCTTGGACCTTTTTTAGACAAAACTCTCAACTGATATGAACTTAAATTGTATGGAACATTTCTTAATCGACAATAAAATCTAAGCCCAGGTTCGCACAGACATAAGACCAGTTCATCCTCATGCAGCGCTACCTAAGGAGAATTAAGTCAGCCAAGAATATACGACTTGACAGAAAACTAACCAAACGTGACCTCAAGAAAATCAGTAGATAATAACACGGGAGTGACACTAAACTAGTGCCTGGAGAGAGAGGCACAGTGCCTGGAGAGAGAGGCACAGTGCCTGGAGAGGCACAGTGCCTGGAGAGAGAGAGGCACAGTGCCTGGAGAGAGAGAGGCACAGTGCCTGGAGAGAGAGAGAGGCACAGTGCCTGGAGAGAGAGAGAGGCACAGTGCCTGGAGAGAGAGAGAGACAGGCACAGTGCCTGGAGAGAGAGAGAGAGAGAGAGAGAGAGGCACAGTGCCTGGAGAGAGAGAGAGAGAGAGAGGCACAGTGCCTGGAGAGAGAGAGAGGCACAGTGCCTGGAGAGAGAGAGAGGCACAGTGCCTGGAGAGAGAGAGAGGCACAGTGCCTGGAGAGAGAGAGGCACAGTGCCTGGAGAGAGAGAGAGAGGCACAGTGCCTGGAGAGAGAGAGAGGCACAGTGCCTGGAGAGAGAGAGAGGCACAGTGCCTAGAGAGAGAGAGAGGCACAGTGCCTGGAGAGAGAGGCACAGTGCCTGGAGAGAGAGAGGCACAGTGCCTGGAGAGAGAGAGAGAGAGAGAGAGAGGCACAGTGCCTGGAGAGAGAGAGGCACAGTGCCTGGAGAGAGAGGCACAGTGCCTGGAGAGAGAGAGAGAGAGGCACAGTGCCTGGAGAGAGAGAGACAGGCACAGTGCCTGGAGAGAGAGAGAGAGAGAGGCACAGTGCCTGGAGAGAGAGAGAGAGAGAGAGAGGCACAGTGCCTGGAGAGAGAGAGAGAGAGAGAGGCACAGTGCCTGGAGAGAGAGAGAGAGAGAGAGAGAGAGAGAGAGAGAGAGAGAGAGAGAGAGAGAGAGAGAGAGAGAGAGAGAGAGAGAGAGAGAGAGAGAGAGAGAGAGAGGCACAGTGCCTGGAGAGAGAGGCACAGTGCTTGGAAAGATAAGCACAGTGCCACTAGAATCATTCTCAACACACAATTAAATTTGTAGAGGACGCAGATGAGAACAAGAACTACTCCCCCTCAAGAGGTGAAGAAAGCAAATAACAGAATTACTCCAACGTCCCATTGTTCTCCTCCCAGGAACGAAGAGAAAGAAGAACTGGCATGAAACCCGAGGGACCAACGCCTCAGAAGCAGCAAAACTAAATAAATTAGAAAAACTCAGGCATATTAAATATTTCTGTACAACACCCAAAGCTATTTTACTCACAATTATTGTAATTAGACCCTATGTAATATTTAGGATATTAGGATATTATTATTAAACACACTGAACATTGTGGCAGCTACCTTGACCTTGAGGCTACCTTGAGGTGCTTCCGGGGCTTAGCGTCCCCTCGGCCCGGTCGTCGACCAGGCCTCCTGGTTGCTGGACTGATCAACCAGGCTGTTGGACGCGGCTACTCGCAGCCTGACGTATGAGTCACAGCCTGGTTGATCAGGTATCCTTTGGAGCTGCTGAGATTTTGTTTAAAACAGAACAAGTTTAACAGCTTCATTCAACCATTTGGCTCATTAGGGCCACTGTAAACATATATTTAATTTACACCTTACATATAAATTGTGTGTTCACTATTTTGTTATGAGAGAATATTCACTATAAGTTGTGAATATAAATATTATATGTAGTATTAAATTAATACTGATATTGGACTTAAATAATACTATTAATACAATAAATACAACACAACACTCGCTGAAAAATGTATTATATATAATGGAACTGAATGATTGAATCACGACACTTTAATACACGCTGGGTGAGTGGAAGAGGAGCTGGGTGAGTGGAAGAGGAGCTGGGTGAGTGGAAGAGGAGCTGGGTGAGTGGAAGAGGAGTTGGGTGAGTGGAAGAGGAGCTGGGTGAGTGGAAGAGGAGCTGGGTGAGTGGAAGAGGAGCTAGGTGAGTGGAAGAGGAGCTGGGTGAGTGGAAGAGGAGCTGGGTGAGTGGAAGAGGAGCTGGGTGAGTGGAAGAGGAGCTGGGTGAGTGGAAGAGGAGCTGGGTGAGTGGAAGAGGAGCTGGGTGAGTGGAAGAGGAGCTGGGTGAGTGGAAGAGGAGCTGGGTGAGTGGAAGAGGAGCTGGGTGAGTGGAAGAGGAGCTAGGTGAGTGGAAGAGGAGCTGGGTGAGTGGAAGAGGAGCTGGGTGAGTGGAAGAGGAGCTGGGTGAGTGGAAGAGGAGCTGGGTGAGTGGAAGAGGAGCTGGGTGAGTGGAAGAGGAGCTGGGTGAGTGGAAGAGACGCTGGGTGTGTGGAAGAGGAGCTGGGTGAGTGGAAGAGGAGCTGGGTGAGTGGAAGAGGAGCTGGGTGAGTGGAAGAGGAGCTGGGTGAGTGGAAGAGGAGCTGGGTGTGTGGAAGAGGAGCTGGGTGAGTGGAAGAGGAGCTGGGTGAGTGGAAGAGGAGCTGGGTGTGTGGAAGAGGAGCTGGGTGTGTGGAAGAGGAGCTGGGAGTGTGGAAGAGGAGCTGGGCGAGTGGAAGAGGAGCTGGGCGAGTGGAAGGGGAGCTGGGCGTGTGGAAGAGGAGCTGGGCGTGTGGAAGAGGAGCTGGGTGTGTGGAAGAGGAGCTGGGTGTGTGGAAGAGGAGCTGGGAGTGTGGAAGAGGAGCTGGGAGTGTGGAAGAGGAGCTGGGCGAGTGGAAGAGGAGCTGGGTGTGTGGAAGAGGAGCTGGGTGAGTGGAAGAGGAGCCGGGTGAGTGGAAGAGGAGCCGGGTGAGTGGAAGAGGAGCCGGGTGAGTGGAAGAGGAGCTGGGTGAGTGGAAGAGGAGCTGGGTGAGTGGAAGAGGAGATGGGTGAGTGGAAGAGGAGCCGGGTGAGTGGATGAGGAGCCGGGTGAGTGGAAGAGGAGCTGGGTGAGTGGAAGAGGAGCTGGGTGAGTGGAAGAGGAGCTGGGTGAGTGGAAGAGGAGCTGGGAGTGTGGAAGAGGAGCTGGGTGAGTGGAAGAGGAGCTGGGTGAGTGGAAGAAGAGCTGGGTGAGTGGAAGAGGAGCTGGGTGAGTGGAAGAGGAGCTGGGTGAGTGGAAGAGGAGCTGGGTGAGTGGAAGAGGAGCTGGGTGAGTGGAAGAGGAGCTAAGAGTGAGGAAGAAGAGACGGGTCTTAATAACATAGAGAATGAGGAGAATGAGAAAAGTGAGAAGTAACAGGAGTAATGAGAGACACTGGGCCAGGTGCAGCCCATGTCTCCTTAACTCATACTTCCTTGTTAACTCCCGTCCCACGCCCACACCACCCGTCCCACGCCCACACCACCCGTCCCACGCCCACGCCACCCGTCTCACGCCCACGCCACCCGTCTCGCGCCCACGCCACCCGTCTCGCGCCCACACCACCCGTCCCGCGCCCACACCACCCGTCCCGCGCCCACACCACCCGTCCCACGCCCACGCCACCCGTCCCACGCCCACGCCACCCGTCTCGCGCCCACGCCACCCGTCTCGCGCCCACACCACCCGTCTCGCGCCCACACCACCCGTCTCGCGCCCACACCACCCGTCCCGCGCCCACACCACCCGTCCCACGCCCACACCACCCGTCCCACGCCCACGCCACCCGTCTCGCGCCCACGCCACCCGTCTCGCGCCCACACCACCCGTCCACGCCAACACCACCCGTCCCACGCCAACACCACCCGTCCCACGCCAACACCACCCTTCCCACGCCCACGCCACCCGTCTCGCGCCCACGCCACCCGTCCCGCGCCCACGCCACCCGTCCCGCGCCCGCGCCACCCGTCCCGCGCCCGCGCCACCCGTCCCGCGCCCGCGCCACCCGTCCCGCGCCCGCGCCACCCGTCCCACGCCCGCGCCACCCGTCCCACGCCCGCGCCACCCGTCCCACGCCCGCGCCACCCGTCCCACGCCCGCGCCACCCGTCCCACGCCCGCGCCACCCGTCCCACGCCCGCGCCACCCGTCCCACGCCCACGCCACCCGCCCCACGCCCACGCCACCCGTCCCACGCCACCCGTCCCACGCCACCCGTCCCACGCCACCCGTCCCGCGCCACCCGTCCCGCGCCCGCGCCACCCGTCCCGCGCCCGCGCCACCCGTCCCGCCCGCGCCACCCGTCCCGCGCCACCCGTCCCGCGCCACCCGTCCCGCGCCACCCGTCCCGCGCCACCCGTCCCGCGCCCGCGCCACCCGTCCCGCGCCACCCGTCCCGCGCCCGCGCCACCCGTCCCGCGCCACCCGTCCCACGCCACCCGTCCCGCGCCACCCGTCCCGCGCCACCCGTCCCGCGCCCGCGCCACCCGTCCCGCGCCCGCGCCACCCGTCCCGCGCCCGCGCCACCCGTCCCGCGCCACCCGTCCCGCGCCCGCGCCACCCGTCCCGCGCCACCCGTCCCGCGCCCGCGCCACCCGTCCCGCGCCACCCGTCCCGCGCCCGCGCCACCCGTCCCGCGCCCGCGCCACCCGTCCCGCGCCACCCGTCCCGCGCCCGCGCCACCCGTCCCGCGCCCACGCCACCCGTCCCGCGCCCACGCCACCCGCCCACACCACCCGTCCCACGCCCACACCACCCGTCCCACGCCCACACCACCCGTCCCACGCCACCCGCTACACACGCACGCCACCCGCTCCACGCCCACACCACCCGCCCAACGCCCACGCCACCCGCCCAACGCCAACACCACCCGCCCAACGCCCACGCCACCCGTCCCACGCCCACACCATTCGTCCCACGCCCACACCACCCGTCCCACGCCACCCGCTCCACGCCCACACCACCCGTCCCACGCCACCCGCTCCACACCCACGCCCACACCCCCCGTCCCACGCCCACACCCCCCGTCCCATGCCCACACCCCCTGTCTCACGCCCACACCACCCGTCCCACGCCCATGCCACCCGTCCCACGCCCACACCACCCGTCCCACGCCACCCTCTCCACGCCCACACCACCCTCTCCACGCCCACACCACCCGCCCCACGCCCACACCACTCGCCCCACGGCTGCTGTTGCTACGTTCTTTTTCTTGCAATTATTCTTCCTTATACCTTAATTACAGTCAGACGCCCACTCCCGACCTGAGGAACATCAATCCTTGTTACCTCTATTCTTGCCTCTACCTCCCCCCCCCCCTTACTCTACCCACTCCGTTACTCTACTTCCTCTCTACCCCCTCCGTTACTCTACTTCCCCTCTACCTCCTCCGTTACTCTACTCCCCCTCTACCTCCTCCGTTACTCTACTTCCCCTCTACCTCCTCCGTTACTCTACTTCCTCTCTACCCCCTCCGTTACTCTACTTCCTCTCTACCCCCTCCGTTACTCTACTTCCCCTCTACCCCCTCCGTTACTCTACTTCCTCTCTACCCCCTCCGTTACTCTACTTCCCCTCTACCCCCTCCGTTACTCTACTTCCCCTCTACCCCCTCCGTTACTCTACTTCCTCTCTACCCCCCCCCGTTACTCTACTTCCCCTCTACCCCCTCCGTTACTCTACTTCCTCTCTACCCTCTCCGTTACTCACTTCCCCTCTACCCCCTCCGTTACTCTACTTCCTCTCTACCCCCTCCGTTACTCTACTTCCTCTCTACCCCCTCCGTTACTCTACTTCCTCTCTACCCTCTCCGTTACTCACTTCCCCTCTACCCCCTCCGTTACTCTACTTCCTCTCTACCCCCTCCGTTACTCACTTCCCCTCTACCCCCTCCGTTACTCTACTTCCTCTCTACCCCCTCCGTTACTCTACTTCCTCTCTACCCCCTCCGTTACTCTACTTCCTCTCTACCCCCTCCGTTACTCTACTTCCTCTCTACCCCCTCCGTTACTCTACTTCCTCTCTACCCCCTCCGTTACTCTACTTCCTCTCTACCCCCCTCCGTTACTCTACTTCCTCTCTACCCCCTCCGTTACTCTACTTCCTCTCTACCCCCTCCGTTACTCTACTTCCTCTCTACCCCCTCCGTTACTCTACTTCCTCTCTACCCCCCCCCCGTTACTCTACTTCCCCTCTACCCCCTCCGTTACTCTACTTCCTCTCTACCCTCTCCGTTACTCACTTCCCCTCTACCCCCTCCGTTACTCTACTTCCTCTCTACCCCCTCCGTTACTCTACTTCCTCTCTACCCCCCCCCCCCCCCCCGTTACTCTACTTCCCCGTGTTAAGTGTAAAGAAGTCTTTGAGAATGTAAGAAGCCATTACGAAACGCTTCTAAGCGTCAGATCATTAATAAAAAATTGAATTTTGGAGAATTGATATTTTCCTTACCACCGACAGTGAAAAAAAAAACAAGAAATATTGAAAAAAATGTGTTAGAATTATTAATCTTACTTTTTCGATCATATTCAACAAATGTTTACAAGAAAGACTTGTAAATATAAACCTTGTCCCCGAGAAAACGAATTAATATTATGTCGAGAAGACGGAGCATAAGGTTGGCCAAGGACCCAGGAGCTAGAGACCACAGCGTTAAGGTGTAGGTTGTGAGGGCTGAAGGTGGACGTGTGACTGACGGTGTTGAGGAAGGTGAGAGGCAACAGCCGACGGCCTCCAGTAAAGTGACGGCCTCCAGTAAGGTGACGGCCTCCAGTAAGGTGACGGCCTCCAGTAAGGTGACGGCCTCCAGTAAAGTGACGGCCTCCAGTAAGGTGACGGCCTCCAGTAAAGTGACGGCCTCCAGTAAGGTGACGGCCTCCAGTAAGGTGACGGCCTCCAGTAAGGTGACGGCCTCCAGTAAAGTGACGGCCTCCAGTAAAGTGACGGCCTCCAGTAAGGTGACGGCCTCCAGTAAAGTGACGGCCTCCAGTAAAGTGACGGCCTCCAGTAAGGTGACGGCCTCCAGTAAGGTGACGGCCTCCAGTAAGGTGACGGCCTCCAGTAAGGTGACGGCCTCCAGTAAGGTGACGGCCTCCAGTAAGGTGACGGCCTCCAGTAAGGCGACGGCCTCCAGTAAGGTGACGGCCTCCAGTAGGTCAGAGGGAACTTGGGTCAGAGGGAACTTGGGTCAGAGGGAACTTGGGTCAGAGGGAACTTGGGTCAGAGGGAACTTGGGTCAGAGGGAACTTGGACCAGAGACAACTTGGACCAGAGACAACTTGGACCAGAGACAACTTGGACCAGAGACAACTTGGACCAGAGACAACTTGGACCAGAGACAACTTGGACCAGAGACAACTTGGACCAGAGACAACTTGGACCAGAGACAACTTGGACCAGAGACAACTTGGACCAGAGACAACTTGGACCAGAGACAACTTGGACCAGAGACAACTTGGACCAGAGACAACTTGGACCAGAGATAACTTGGACCAGAGACAACTTGGACCAGAGACAACTTGGACCAGAGATAACTTGGACCAGAGACAACTTGGACCAGAGACAACTTGGACCAGAGATAACTTGGACCAGAGACAACTTGGACCAGAGATAACTTAGATCAGAGGGCAGTATTGGGAGACACGTGGAAGCAACACTGCCGTACAAGCAAAGGAACAACAGCTCTTGTACAATAATATACACATAAGGAGAAAAACAACAGCAGTTCATCATGTAATCAAATTGAATAGACATGAGATAATTCTCATGGCACCTGAAGGAACTAGATTAATATCATTCCAGCCATTACAGGAAGCTTGAGACACATTTCCTAAGTTATAATCACACTTGCTAATTATAATTTTAAATATAACATTCAAGACAGGAGATCTCCCAAAATTCTAGAAGTGAACTCAATACCAACATAACAAAAGGAGACAGATAGGCGGCACTACATTATAGATCAGAAACGCGAATTTTGAGTGGTTAAGTCTTGCCTGACAATCCTCGAATATATTCCATAGTTACCAAAATACGTACTTCCTAATTTGTGAACAAAATACAATTTATACTCTTCGTCAAGTAAAGATGGAGATAGGAGATGGGATAACTGAACACCCGTCATTGGCTCAGGGAGTACCTGAGGGGCAGGAAACAAAGGGTCACAATGAGAGAGGTGTGAGGAAGGTTGATGTGATAAGAGAGGTCCTCCAAGGCTGGTGTTAGGGGCCACTGCTGCTCCTGAGTCATGTGAACAGCCTGCCTGAAGGAGCTCATATATGTCAATGTTTGCAGATCATGCAACGCTAATCTGCTAATCTTGCAATGTCGAAATGCAAGAGGTTACAGGAAGCCTGACAGCTGAGTGGACAGCGCTTCGGATTCGTAGTCCTGAGGTTCCGGGTTCGATCCCCGGTAGAGGCGGAAACAAATGGGCAAAATGTTTCTTTCACCCTGACGCCCCTGTTACCTAGCAGTAAACAGGTACCTGGGAGTTAGACAGCTGCTACGAGCTGCTTCCTGGGGGTGTGTAACAAAAAGGAGGCATGGTCAAGGACAGGGCCGCGGGGGTGGTAAGCCCCGAAATCATCTCAAGATAACCTCAAGAAGATCGTGACAAACTCAAGAAGTGCTGGCCGGACATATGACCCCTAGAATTCAATCTCCGCGAGTGTAAACTAATGAAGATGAAAAATGGGGATAAATCTACACAATGAGACGACAACTACAAGAATAGATAAAGGAGAGAGATTTGGGAGTGGGTATTGTTCAACACAAACACCGGAGGTACACACACACACAGAGTAACATCAGCAGCATTCAGGAAGCTGAAAAACATTAGATCGTCGCTTATAACCTAAATGTGGACTCCCTCTCAAGGCAATCTACTCAGCTTTTGTTAGGTAAGCACTCTAGCGCTCCGAGCCTTAACCCTCCTATCCCTCCCTCCACAAGTATTAACTTGGTACAGGAGCTGCGGAGACCCTCAACTTACTCCGATGTCCAACTCCATTAAACTTTCTCGGTAAATCCACGTACATTCCGCACCAGTCCTCGGCGGGGCTCCCACCCAGCTGCTCCTACTTCCTAGCAATCGCCCAATTAAATGCTGCTTCCCGGCCCTTAAACTCACGTTAAAACCTCAAGCACTTCCTGCCAGGTGTTGAGGAGCTGGAGGTTACGAGGCGCGGGCCAGCCATTACTTTAACACCTTTACTGACAAAACTTAGGCACAATTTTGCCTAATGCGAGTAATTCAGTCAGGTCTTATTGCAGTGAGCATGTTGCTTATGCTGCTCACACCAACACAGGACGTCCTGAGGGTGTAGCTGCTTGGTGCTAGCGGGACGTCCTGAGGGTGTAGCTGCTTGGTGCTAGCGGGACGTCCTGAGGGTGTAGCTGCTTGGTGCTAGCGGGACGTCCTGAGGGTGTAGCTGCTTGGTGCTAGCGGGACGTCCTGAGGGTGTAGCTGCTTGGTGCTAGCGGGACGTCCAGTGGGTGTAGCTGCTGGGTGCTAGCGGGACGTCCTGAGGGTGTAGCTGCTTGGTGCTAGCGGGACGTCCAGTGGGTGTAGCTGCTGGGTGCTAGCGGGACGTCCTGAGGGTGTAGCTGCTGGGTGCTAGCGGGACGTCCTGAGGGTGTAGCTGCTGGGTGCTAGCGGGACGTCCTGAGGGTGTAGCTGCTTGGTGCTGGTGCTAGCGGGACGTCCTGAGGGTGTAGCTGCTGGGTGCTAGCGGGACGTCCTGAGGGTGTAGCTGCTGGGTGCTAGCGGGACGTCCTGAGGGTGTAGCTGCTTGGTGCTAGCGGGACGTCCTGAGGGTGTAGCTGCTAGGTGCTAGCGGGACGTCCTGAGGGTGTAGCTGCTTGGTACTTGCAGGACGTCCTGAGGGTGTAGCTGCTGGGTGCTAGCGGGACGTCCTGAGGGTGTAGCTGCTTGGTACTAGCAGGACGTCCTGAGGGTGTAGCTGCTTGGTACTAGCAGGACGTCCAGTGGGTGTAGCTGCTGGGTGCTAGCGGGACGTCCAGTGGGTGTAGCTGCTGGGTGCTAGCAGGACGTCCAGTGGGTGTAGCTGCTGGGTGCTAGCAGGACGTCCAGTGGGTGTAGCTGCTGGGTGCTAGCGGGACGTCCAGTGGGTGTAGCTGCTTGGTACTAGCAGGACGTCCAGTGGGTGTAGCTGCTTGGTACTAACAGGACGTCCTGAGGGTGTAGCTACTTGGTACTAGCAGGACGTCCAGTGGGTGTAGCTGCTTGGTACTAGCAGGACGTCCAGTGGGTGTAGCTGCTTGGTACTAGCAGGACGTCCAGTGGGTGTAGCTGCTTGGTGCTAGCGGGACGTCCTGAGGGTGTAGCTGCTTGGTGCTAGCGGGACGTCCTGAGGGTGTAGCTGCTTGGTGCTAGCGGGACGTCCTGAGGGTGTAGCTGCTTGGTGCTAGCGGGACGTCCTGAGGGTGTAGCTGCTGGGTGCTAGCAGGACGTCCTGAGGGTGTAGCAGCTTGGTACTAACAGGACGTCCTGAGGGTGTAGCTGCTTGGTACTAGCAGGACGTCCAGTGGGTGTAGCTGCTGGGTGCTAGCGGGACGTCCAGTGGGTGTAGCTGCTGGGTGCTAGCAGGACGTCCAGTGGGTGTAGCTGCTGGGTGCTAGCAGGACGTCCAGTGGGTGTAGCTGCTGGGTGCTAGCGGGACGTCCAGTGGGTGTAGCTGCTTGGTACTAGCAGGACGTCCAGTGGGTGTAGCTGCTTGGTACTAGCAGGACGTCCAGTGGGTGTAGCTGCTTGGTACTAGCAGGACGTCCAGTGGGTGTTGCTGCTTGGTACTAACAGGACGTCCTGAGGGTGTAGCTACTTGGTACTAGCAGGACGTCCAGTGGGTGTAGCTGCTTGGTACTAGCAGGACGTCCAGTGGGTGTAGCTGCTTGGTACTAGCAGGACGTCCAGTGGGTGTAGCTGCTTGGTACTAGCAGGACGTCCAGTGGGTGTAGCTGCTTGGTACTAGCAGGACGTCCAGTGGGTGTAGCTGCTTGGTACTAACAGGACGTCCAGTGGGTGTAGCTGCTTGGTACTAGCAGGACGTCCTGAGGGTGTAGCTGCTTGGTACTAGCAGGACGTCCTGAGGGTGTAGCTGCTTGGTACTAGCACGACGTGCTCAGGGTGTAGCTGCTTGGTACTAGCAGGACGTCCAGTGGGTGTAGCTGCTTGGTACTAGCAGGACGTCCTGAGGGTGTAGCTGCTTGGTACTAGCAGGACGTCCTGAGGGTGTAGCTGCTTGGTACTAGCAGGACGTCCTGAGGGTGTAGCTGCTTGGTACTAGCAGGACGTCCTGAGGGTGTAGCTGCTTGGTACTAGCAGGACGTCCTGAGGGTGTAGCTGCTTGGTACTAGCAGGACGTCCTGAGGGTGTAGCTGCTTGGTACTAGCAGGACGTCCTTAGGGTGTAGCTGCTTGGTACTAGCAGGACGTCCTGAGGGTGTAGCTGCTGCCACAGCCCCCCATCACCCACCCCACATCCCCCATCACCCTCCCCACAGCCCCCATCACCCTCCCCACAGCCACTTCCCCCACACAAGCAAGGGATGAGCCCCACGCCACACTGCCCAACCTGACCACTTCAATCACACACAAATGAGATTAAACGCAGCTCGCGGCCCGACCCCTAAGCCCAGGCTAAGTGTAACGCCGTGTTGAATTTCAGAATAAATGGTTGATTGGGATTAAATGACCACGTGAATGGTAACGAGTACGAGGCAAAATATCAGCGTCAGTTGCCAAAGAGAGGCTGCCACATCAATCGTTGAGGCGAACACCTTGTTTGAAAGAGCAAGTTAGTCGCTGCCTAGGGAATGGTCACGTGACTAATGCATGGTAAACAGGCAAGTGATGATGAACGAGAGTAGCAGTCAACACGCAAAACTACACGCACTAATATTTTAAAGAGTAATCATCTCTCGTTACTGCACATTAAAGACTGAGGAGCATATAATTATTATGTGACACACACACACACACACACACACACACACACACACACACACACACACACACACACACAAACACACACACACACAATCTCATATCTTCAAGTGTAGATATGATAGAGCCCAATAGGCTCAGGAATCTGTACACCTGTTGATTGACGGTTGAGAGGCGGGACCAAAGAGCCAGAGCTCAACCCCCGCAAACACAACTAGGTGAGTACAACTAGGCGAGTACACACACACACACACGCACACACGCACGCACGCACGCACGCACGCACGCACGCACGGACTCGCGTGCGGCTTTCACAAAGCCTGGAGTTAGAGTATCACGCATATAAAATCAAGATAAATCACCTCCATATTTCACCTACACAAAAATTCATTATACGGACACAACGAATATCGAATGTTTGTTTGTTTTAAATGAAATACGAGTTAATTTATCTTCACCTCTGCTTCTTGGAACCCGTGTCGTAGCCCGGGGGGGGGGGCAACAGGACACGCTGAGGCTG